ATGTAGGTCAAAAGTATAAGGATGGGGGAAATTTTAAGTGGCTTGCATATCACTGAGAAACTTTTCAAATATCTCAATTGGGTTCAGCCCTTTTTGGTGATGTTTTTCAGCTGTTTCTCTAATGAACTTCCTAATAGTTCACTGTGGTATTATTAACAAAAAGGCCAAATGGTGAATTTCAGTGTTCCAGAAGTGAGTTATTAGATTGTTATAGAGACCATGTCTGAGGGAGAGCCACCGGCTATGTGCAGATTTTCATTCTGAAGGAACTTCTTATACCAACTGGTACCAAGCAGGTGAAAACAAGGCTTAGTTTTCAAGATTATAGTCCTGCCTTGGCTATTTGAAATTTTACTTGGGACCTAGTGGCTTTTGTGAAAGTCCTCTAACTTTGCCTGAAGTCTTTTATGTGTTTTCTAGTCCCTTAGATTGTCTAACCTTCTGCCATAGTTTAACTGTGTTAAGTTTAAGCTAAACCTGTGCTAGGTTTGGGGTACAGCAATTGAATAAGGCAGATGCCACTCAAGGCCTCTTACACCTTCCAGAGAATTACAGAAAAGGAAACAGAATTGTCAGATGAAAGGTACATTAGAAATGTTTACATTGCGGGGGAGGAGGCATAAGGAGACTAAATGGTTAATAGAAAAAATACAATAAAGATTAAATTTAAAAAAAAGATGTTTACATTTGCTAAATAAAACACCTAAGGACTCTTTTGTTTTGTTTTGTTTGTATGGGAGATTTTTAATCCATAGTTTCAGTTTCTATTTCAGTTTCAGTTTCTTCTTGAGGTTGTATTGTTAAGTTATACAGTCTCCTATGAAATTGTCCATTTCTTATAAGTTCAAATTTATTGGCATAAAGTTGTTCATAGTACAAGAGTATTTTAAAATTCATGCTTAAATCTGTACTTTATCTCCCTTTTTATTTCTAACATTATTTATGCATTATCCCCTCTTTTTTTCTCCTTTCTAGTTTGTCTATTTTATTGGTCTTTTAAAAAAGCAACATGCCTAAGCCAGGCATTCTGCAGAAAGTAGATAGGTCACTCAGATTGAATAGTTTAAGGAGGAATTAATAAAGGGATATTTATAAAGGTATAGAAAGAATATAGTGCCATTATGAGAAATAGCACAGTTCCCTGGTAATGGTTGACGGTTCCTACTTTAGGGGAAGGGCTGGAGGATGGAGCCATTACCAAAACCTGGGAGATAAAGAAGGCTGCCTGGTAGGTGGATAATGTCAACATCTTTGTCATATGGGCTTCAGTGTGGCAGCCCTCTCCTGAATTACATCCATTCTCTCCGAGATCTGTATGTGCTCCCTTCTTGCCTCTTGAGCCCTAGACGTGACAAAGGCTTGCCACTCTTTCTAGCTCCAGGGGTGCCTCACTTTCCCTTATGAATTTCCCTTAACCCTGCTCACACTTTGGTAAACATGCCTGCCACAAAACTCTTCTCAGTTACCCGCCTCGAATGTGCTATTTGTTTCCTGTCAATACCCTGACTGATACTATCTCATCACCTGCCTCCTGAGCCATTCTTTTCCTTGTCCTTGTTCAGCTTCCTGTCCCAACCCTTAATCATTAGTGTCTCTAAAATATAATCGTTGACCTCAAGTCCCCTGCATGACTCCCATCTCTTTATTCTTAGCAGTCACCTCACCTCTTACGTCATAGAGAAAAGAGAGGCCATTTGGGCTGATTTATTGCAATTTATAGTTGGAGGAAACTGACATGCAGGCTCAGGCCTCCTCCCTCATTTTTCAGGTCTACCTCTTTCTCTGGATCCTACGCTCTCTGGTCACTTCAGTCATGCTTCTCTCCTCTGTCTTCAGCCTCTCTATATTTCCTTCTTTTTTCCTTACAGCATAACATAGAAATATCAGGATGTGTTCATTGTTACAAGCAAAATCGCTGTCTTTTTTTTTTTTGTTTGTTTCCTATTGTAACTGCCCCCTAGTTCTTTCTTACCCAAGAAACCAAACTTCTCCATTTCCTCAGTTCAAATCATTCCTTTAACTGCTGCTCTCTGGCTTTTGAATCCATCTTAACAGGGGCACCAGGGGACAGACTGACATCATCGCACTCAATTCTTTCTATGGACAACTGAGAATTTTTCAGCTTTATGTTAGTGCTCTGCAAACACACCAGCCTGGCAAATCCCCTACTCACTTCTGCCCAGATGCTCCCACTGAATACTTCTTGGACTAAAAACAAAAAAACAGAAACACTACAATTACCCATCATTCCTCAGAAACTGTTCTCAATTACCAGTAATTTTGTCACTGTAAGTGCAAAAGATATGTTTCAGTCTTTGCCTTAAAGTCTCTACAGCCTTTGGCACTGCTGACCACGCCCTCTATGTCTCTATTCTCCCACAGCTCCCTGACAGTTCAGTCTCCTGCTTCTTTCTGTACCTCTTGGGTCGTCTTTCTTTGGCCCCTTTTCTGCGTTCCTCTTCCACTTTCCATGCTTCAAATATCCTATTTCTCATGCCTCTTCTCTTGCCTCTCCACATCAAATATTCTTAATCTAAGGGTCCCCTAAAATTGACTCATATGTTTGTGTGAGTTTTTAACATGCACATTTTTTCTGAAGAGACAGAACTTTCATCACATTCTCAAAGAGATCAAGAATTCCTCAAAAGGTGAAATCTGCAACTTGTTGTTCCTGGGCAACCTCATCCACTTATGCTTGTTGATGGCTTCCTTTTGTCAGAATGGACCCTTCCCATCTGAAAGCAGCTCAGTGGTTTTCATTCCTGTTCTTTACATAAGGCACAAGGCCTTTTATGATCCAACCCTGACTGCCTCTCCAGACTCCGGTCTTAAAGTTTCCCTGCCTTCTAGTCTGGGTTTCAGAACTAGGGAACTGCTTTGAGCTGTGTGGGTAGAGTGGGATTCCAATGGCGCCCTCTCTCTGCCCTGGGTACCTCTCACCTTTGGACTGGGAGCTTTATTCAATTGTTGACTAAAGCTGCTTCCTGTCCCAGTTCTTTCTGTCTTTCTTTTCAATGACACTAAACATCTGTATCTTAGCAGAAAAATATGCTATTCATTGTGTCACTCAAGCAAAATGAGTTTGCGAAGGAGGTGTTATTTTAATTGGAAGGTGGTTTCAGATGCTGTATTAAATTGTCTTATTCTAATAGTTTAAACATTCAAAGCGGGGGGAAAACTCACCTCAGGCTTTACCTTCTCCAGGAAGCCTTCTCAGACACACTTCTCCCTTTCAGGCTCCATGAGGTGCCCTTCTAATGTGCATTCATTAATCCTTACATCTTTTTCTCATTATATACTTACCACACTGAGTTGCAATTCTGTTTCTGTATTTGTCACCCCTACCTGAGAACAGAGACTTTCTTACTCACCTTAGTGCCTCCAGTAGTTAACACCGTATCTGCATCAGAGTAGTCTCAGCGATCATTAATTGAGCTGAACTGAAGTGAAAAATAATGATCTTTCCCCACAGAGACTTCACATGGGGTTTCTTGCCTGCCACTTGGCTGTGTCCTACTTCAGTGAACTCTCTACATTGGCCCAATATATGTTATTCTAAGAAAGCAAATCTTATGATACCTAAGTCAGAAGTCATAAAAGATATGTGGATTTGACTAAAAAAGTAAAACTTCTATACTGAAGACATTTATGCCAAAGTAAATTCCTAGGGAGCAAATATTTAAATATTAAAAAAATCAAACTTAAAAAATATTCAAAGAAAATGTGTGAGGGTTTTCTTTTGTGGTTGTTTTTTTTTTTTTTTACATGTGAAGTAGATGAGGCCTTTCCAATCATGACCCCAAATCCATAAGCCATGAAGGGTGACTGACAAATTTACCTACATAAAAATATAAGGCTTCTAAATAGCAAATAAATAAATAAAGTTAAAAGAACTTTATTTTGATCTGGTAACCTTTTTCTTTTTTCTCTTTTAATACTAAGTATTTTACTTGTATGTTGTCACCAGTGTATATAAAATAATCATCTTTGTGAAATAGAAATTCATAAAAATTTAGACAGGCAGATGTTCAGGACTGACAAAACCAGAAGTCTGTACGGTATGGCATATGTTATAGGTATAAGCTTTATGTATAGGCTTCAGATTTAGCTCTCTGAATATTCACCAGTTCATGAATAGTAATTACAAGGTATTTGCTAAATATTATAGATACTCTCTGTATGTTAGGAACTGTGTGAGGCTCTCTGTGCACTATCTCATTTCATTAGGTCTGTGGAGAATAGTCCCCTTTTTCTGGGTTAGCCAGGGCTCCCACTATAGGGATTATTAAAAGGTCTAAAAATCTGTGAAAGAAATCCAGATATTTATTGTGCTCCTTAGGGAAGCACAATTCAACTCCCTTCTGTTGAAAACCACGGTGATTTCCAAGTTCTCTGTTCCTCTCCGCGGCATGGTTCACTTCCTCTCTCACTGCTCCACTCAGAGAAGACTTGGCAGCCGCGTGAGGATATCTTTTCTTATGTGGCTGGGTGCAATTTAAATTCTCACTAAAATTGCCATGCCCTTTATCTTCTAAATGTCAGAGGCATAAAAAACAATGGAATCAGGCTAGAGTTTGAATCCTAGTTTCTTATCCTCTGTTTTCCCTGTCCATAAAAATTAATCAAGTAACTCCTACCCCTAGAGTTTATTAAGGTATCCACCCCTTCTTTGCTAGTTAGTTCATTCATCCACCCATTCGTCCATTCTGGTTCGGATATCGAGGGCGCTGGACAAAGGTGCGTCCACGCTGATCCTAGGATGGCTGGTCAACGCCCCAAGCCTGGGGACTCACCCAAGGTCAGAGGGCGCCCATTTACAAATAGCGAACTCACCCTGTCCAATCCATGCCTTAAGCATCACGAGGCCTTATAGGAAAATGAAACTGAAATGAAAATTTCCTCTTCTAACCTAGTTCAGCACAGTCAGCTAGGAGACTGGTGACGGGCAGGGTTCTGATTGGCGGTGCACGCGTGTAATATAAGGCGAGGCGCACGCTGGAGAGCGCAATCGGAACTGAAGACAGGAGCAGAGTTCCTCCGTCGGTCGCCCGGCGCTGCTCTAGAGGTGATGGCTCTCCCCGTGGCCTTCGTCGTGCTTGGGCTGCTCTGTCTGTCGGGCCTGGACGCCATCCAGCGTAAGTCCCCCCTTGCCCCCGTTTCTCCTCCGCTCGCCCTTCCTCTTCCAGTCCCTCACCCTCTTTGGCCCTCTCAATTCTATATAAGACCCGGGTTCCCCTTACGGGAAAGTACTCTTTCCCGGCCAGGGTACTAGCCCCGGGCTGGGTCGGAGGACAGAGAAGCGTTGTGGGGACGAGCCCAGGACGCAAGCTTTCTTTTTCTTTCCCGGAGAGTTGGGCCTGGGGAAGACTGCTGGCGCGCCCAGTCTGAGTGGGTCTGGACAAAGTTTCGGGGTGTTGATAAGTTCCAGAGCGACCCAGGTGAGGGAGGGTTTGTCTTCCGCTCTTTCGAGCTGCGAGCGGGACCTTCGCTTCCCGGAGGGAGCTGGAGGGGAAAGCGGGTAGGCGAGCGCGTAGCTGGGGACTGTGACTGGGTGGAGACAGACACTTGGGCTTTGGGGAAGGCTCCGCCAAGGAAGTCAGTCTTCGCTGGGAACTGTAGGGCTTTGGGCTTCCTCCTAGCCCCCTCCAGGTTCACCGACTCCTTCTTGTTTTCCCATAAATAGGGGATCAAACTTTGGCGGGGGATCAGCACTCAACGTTTGTAGAATGCTTTGAGGTGTTACAGATCGCTTTCACATCATTAATTCACTTGTTCCCATTACATCGCTTTTAATAGTTAATAAAGCGGCCTGTTTTTGACAACTAACAGTGTGCTAGGGACCCTGCATGCTTAAAAAAAAACAAAAAAAACAAAACACACAACCTTTTTATGTCCAACCTTTTGGCGTCTCTGGGCTGCACTGGAAGAAGAGTTGTCTTGGGCCACAGATTAAATACACAAACACTAATGAAAACAAACAAACAAAAAATCTCATAATGCTGTAAGTAAATTTGCGATTTCCTGTTGGGCCACATTCACAGCCATCCTGGGCAGTGGGTTAGACACCCCTGAATGCACCTACGATGTAAATATGGAGGTCATTATCAGCATTTCTCACATATGAGGAAACCGAAGCACCAAGACCTTAAGTAATCACAAGGGAATACTTGGCAGACAATGGCTCCTGCTCTGATCTTTCTGCTGGGGTATTAGCCTATGGGCTGTACGTAATCTGCACATTTTTCAGAGCTGCCTCCTTTGGGTGTGAGATTGGAACAAATTGGGCCGTGGCCCTTGCCTTTTCTTTACAGAGAGCTTCCTCTTGGCTTCTTGCCTGGTACTTTCCAAAATGAGTTGAGCCTCTACTTTCAGTTTGGAGAAAGCCAACGTTAAGAGGTTGTAATACCATGGTAAGGGTAGTTGTAGGGGTTTCCAAGGTTGTCTGTTGGGGACATCAGGGACATTGTGCACGTTCCAAACACCCTGTAATATATCAGACTCTTTAATTTTTTCCCCCTCATAAAAGCCACTGTGAAGTGTCTTTTTGATCATGACAAAAAGGTATTTAATTTATACTTTATTTACAAAATAAAGCATAATGGCTGTCATCGCCATTATTTGCTGCTGACTATAGAAGCCTTTTGAAAAATAATAAGCTGACATTTAAAAAAAATCTTAATTTGAAAATTTCCAGAGTAATACATGCCCTCCATAGATCATTTCTGGAAGAACCACAAGAAATAGGTAATGGCGATTGCCTCTGGGGGTCAGTTTTCTGCTCTATCCCATGTATGGGTTTGTTTGATTCACTGTGGGCATAAATTAATTTTTCTTTGGAAGCTAAACTTTGGAAGCTAAAATCACTCTCCCAAAGTCACAGAGCCAATAAGTGGATGAGTCCAGATTTAAATCCAGGCCTGGCTGATATTGGTCCTCTTCTTAAAAGAGATTTTCATGATGTTTTTACAAAACCCTACCTGGTTCCCTAAAAGTAAGAATTCCAGGACAGATGAACCCATTTGTCTGAGTCCTCACCCTTTCCTTTTGCTCTGACCCAGCTCAACTCACTCATTTAAGCTATTTGCCAGCTTTTGTAGGCATTTAAATCTTGTAGCTCATGAAATCAGACACAAAATCAGATAGGGGTTTGGTGTGTAAACTCTGAGCAGGATGAAGAGTTTGTGTTTTGTAGGAACATACTTTGGGTTGACTCTCTTAGGAACCCGAGCAAGTAGATAATAATAACATCTGCCACTTACAGAGCACCTGCTGTGTACTAGGCACTTTACCAGACACTTGATACATACTGAGAAGTCAGATGGGTGTTGATCTAGGCATGAGCAGAAACCGAAAAAGAAAGATGTAAACCTAAGAAAAAAAATCGATGGGGCTGAAACAGGGTATGATAACATGAGTTTTTTGATGTGGCTACAATGGAGGGTGTGTGAAGTGAAAAATGAAATTTGAAAAGTAGGTTAGCACCAAATGATGTAGACTTTTTAAAAATTGAATATATTGGGTTGATGCTGGTTCACAAAACCATACAGGTTTCAAGTGTGCAGCTCAATGGGTGCTGATAAGCCATCAAAAGGTCTTGAAAGCCTCCACAGAAAGGTTCTTGAAGATTTGGCACAATCTCCAGTGACAGACAGAAGACGCTACTAGAAATCTGGTAGAAAAAGCCAAAAATGTATGTGTAGGGGAATTATGAGGTAGCCTTTTGGAAAAGTGGAAGCTTATTTGGAAAAGCGGAAGTGGAATTGGGAGAAATGGATGATCAAATTTAAATAGTTGGTGCCTGATCTAGCTTTAGACCAAAGTAGCCCATAGTGAAATACTCTGCAATTTTCTTTTGTCTTTTCCCGATGTTCCCCAGGTTCTCCAAAGGTTCAAGTTTATTCAAGGCATCCAGCAGAGAACGGGAAGCCAAATTTTCTGAATTGCTATGTATCTGGGTTCCATCCACCCCAGATTGATGTTCAGTTGTTGAAGAATGGGAAAGAGATGAAAACAGAGAAGTCAGACCTGTCTTTCAGCAAGGACTGGTCGTTCTATCTTCTGGTGCATGCAAATTTCACTCCCAGTGCAGAAGATGAATACACCTGCGTTGTGGAGCATATTACTCTCACCGAGCCCACGAGAGTTAAGTGGGGTAAGTTTTCAAGTTCTTTCCTCAGCAGCTGACAGCAGTATCTGACATTAACCACAACACAAAGCTGCTTTGATATTTATTTTTTTTAAAAAATGCATACTGAGATTGTCAGGAAATGATATTAAAGCTCTGATAGGTGGCACCTTCTGAGAGACCTCTGCACAGCATGGCCCTGGAAATGGTACTTTTTCTATCACAAGAGCAAGGAGCAGCAATAGTGCTTGCACAAATGCGCACTTATTCCCAACATTTCCTCCCCCCTGGCTTCCTTAGGCTTTCCTGACAGCCTCACCTATACTTAGGATCAACAAGCATCTCAGGGAGGCACAGGCCTTTGCAAGTCTTGCTTTCCTAGCACCTGGCAATCCTGGACTCCTTCAGCACTGTCTGACTGGGTTGAGATCTGAGGCTAGTAAGCAGGTTTGCGCCCTACCAGTAGTTCTAAACATGGTATTCATGGTTTGGGACAGCAGGCTATTCTGCCAGACATTTGTTAATACATAGTGTTTTAAAATTAAAACTTACTGTTTTCCTTTTTCTTTCCCCATTTTCTTTTTCATAGACTGGTATAACTAACCAGCAGCATGGAGGTAAGTTTCTAATTTTAAGAAAATGCTTTTCTGTTGTTGCTTCATTATCCTGGGCACTATTTCTAGGCAGCTCTAATATGACAACCCTCAGTATGTAGAGGACATTTGTCAGGGAAGCCTCTCAGCAGGCAGAGAAAATTCCTACGAGGTCACGTTCCATTTTCCTATGGGGCAGCATGAGGAAGGTGCGTGGCCCCGCTGCAACTCTGCCAGCACCCCTGACCCTCTAAAGAAAGTCAGAGGAGCTGCTAGTGTGTTGGGACAGGACAGAAACAGCTGGTTACCCGCTCCACTTGCAAGGGTTTGCTCTTTCTTCTGCCATTTCCACATGGGGCATCTCTGGGCCTTCAAAAAGAAACCATTCTCTTCTGTTGCACAGCAGTTGCTATATTATTCAGGCAGAATAGAAGAGTAACATAGTTCTGAAGATGCCCCATTCCTTCAACCTCTCATTGAGCCTTAGTGTGTGGGCACTGTGTTTGCCTTCTAGAGGCTCCCTGTCCAATAGATGAAATAGAAACAGATTGTTGTAATGCAATATAAAAATACTGAAATAGATGTATCTATAAGGAGCTCTAACAGCATGAAAGAGGGAGGAACTGGACTTCTCTGCATCTTTGGATGGAGTCCAGCGGTAGAAAATCCAACTTTTTAATGAAATTCTCCACAGGGTGCCTTAGGAACTGAAAACCTAATCCACTCTCCTGTTATATTTTAGGACAGGGAAATTAATTCAAGAGAGAATCAGAGAAGCTGGGTGACCTACTCAGAGTCACACAGTAACTAAATGGTAGAGTCATAATCTGAACTCTAATACCAGCATTGTTTTCTCTTAGGTTGTGGTAGAATCAATGGGATAAACTAATGGGAAATGTTCTTTGTAATGGGTCTGGAAAATTATCTGCAGCTACTTCTTTTATAAATGGTGATGTATACAGCCGAAGTTAGACAAGTTGGGTGGTGCGATCTATAGTTCAAATAATGTAAGTATATTTACTAACAAGACTTTTTTCTTTTTTTTTTCAGCTTTGAAGGGGCCTCATTTGACTGAACTAATTCTAAATTGTGTTTTCTATCTTCTTAATGCTTTTATGCTTTTATGCTTTATGCACACAAGTTAAGAAGCAATATTAATACAAATATTATCACTGTACAATTTTCCTTTAGGGCCTGTGTCTCCCTAGTTGATCTAGCACCTCAGGGGGTTGCTGGCAACTTAGAAATGGAGAAGAGAGGGGAGAATTCAACATTAATTCAATGAAAAATTTTTTATGTAAAACTCATATTTCCCTCAACCTGTGTTACACATATTTTGATATATTTTCCTTTGCCAATTAAAACAGTGGTAAAACTTGATGTGTTCAGTTTCTTTTATATCTTTCCCTCTCCTACCCTTTTGTTTTCAAACAGGGAAACAGTCTTCAAGTGTCACTTGAAGAAGAATGTAAACCCCTGGTATATAGGGTGTGGTTCACAGTGGAAGGGGCCTCAATGAACTGCATTTTGCAAATAAAGAACAGGATCCCAGAGAAATTAAAAGAGTTAGGGTGACAGAGCTGTCTGACCAGGCTTCCATCTTTTAGCCAGAGTTCTGTTCCCTGGGCCAAGGCATGAGGAATGTGCAGATTTAAAGAGGGAGCGGGAATATCTGGAGAGTTTTATATTTTGGCAAGTGGTAGATAAACTGTGAATGAAAAATACTAGATCTTTAAATTTCAAGACATAGTTTGTACATGATGACCCACTTTGTGCATTTGTTTATTTGATCAAGAAATTCAGTTACTTAGTGTTAGGTACTGACAAGATGAAAGAAACAACACTGCTCTCAAATTGCTCAGTTTAGTAGAGGGGCAGGCATACACTCAGATGATTAAAATGATCCTGATAAAGAGTAGAGCATAGGGAATGCTGTCCTTCACCTGTGTAAAAAAAAAAAAAAAAAAAAAAAAAAGGAAGAAAAGGAAAAAAAAAGGGATATAGCATAGGTAAGCCCAAAGAACAAGGGGATAGGAAAATGTGTTCGGGGAACAACAAAACGCCTTAGGTGGGTGTTAGGGAAGCCATTTGCTTGAGCTCAGACTTGGTTGATAGTGGTTTTCCCTATTGGTGAGTAGGGCCTGGAGTTTTCAGGCAGGGGCAAATTATGACATGTATAGAGGTATGACGGGTGTGGGTAATTCCAAACAGCAGAACAAAGGTACCTGGGGGAAGATTTGTAGGAACTTAGCTGAGAAGATGAAGGTGTGACTTAGACCTGTATTGTTACGAACAGTACTTGGGGCTCTGCTGCCCACCACTGCCCTATAAGCAAAAATTCCAGAGGCAAAGATTTGATAAGAAAGGAAAAGAGTCTTTATTCAAAAAGCAGTTACTTAGGCTATCAAGTAGCAGCATTAATCGTTTAAGCCTAGCAATTAAGGCTAAACTGTAACACCTGAGTTCTCCTATTTTTTCCTGTTTTTAGTTACCTTGTTTGTATAGGGTTAGTTTACAAGCTAAAAACAACATAATTTAAAAAACACAATTTTGGAAGAACGTCAGGCTTCTGCCTCAGAACTTGTTCCCTCTAGAACATCCAAAGAATAAACCTGCCACCCTCTGCCAGGCCAGCCTGATCCTAGGCTGTGCCCGGAGTTCCTTCCCATCCAAAATGCCATCAGTTGGGAAACACAGGCAGCTGCAGCACAATCATCCAGGCAACCTTGAGGAAGAAGAGCCTGAGCGAGCAGACAAAGAAAACGCCAGCTCAGGAGCCAGAGAGCTCTCCTGAGCCAGCCAGCCAGCCCTCTTTTTATTTGCATTGGCTCTAGAGGCATTCAGCTTCTCAACCAATCCAGTCCTAGACTGCCCACAATCAACTTGACAAACTCCTAATACAGCCCCTCCCTACTTCTCCCCAGAGATCTGAGTTATCTTAACCAGATCTCTTTGTATCAGTAACTCTTCACCCTAGATTCACATTAGAATTGCCTGTGGAACTTACTAACAAATATTAGCTCTAAAAAAAATATAGTCTATTTTAAAACTCCAGCTCTCAACTCCAATCCAGGCAGCTAAATCACAGTCTGTAAGTATGGAGCCCAGCCAGACAACAGTATTATTATTTTTTTTTTAAATTAAGACCTTATTTTTTAGAGCAGTTTTAGGTTCACAGCAAAATTGAGAGGAAGATGCAGAGATTTTCAATGTATTTCCTACCCCTACCTGTCACAGCCTCCCCCATTATCAATATCTCTGACCAGAGTGGTACATTTGTTACAAATGATGACACATCATTATCACCAAAGTCATAGTTTACATTTTGTTTCACTCTTTGTGTGTTGTATGTTTTATGGGTTTGGACAAATGTATAATCACATGTATCCATCATTATGGTATTTATACAGAATATTTCACTGCCCTAAATATCCTTTGTGCTCCCAATATTCATTGCTCCTATCTGCTCCCCACCCCCAACAACTTGTGGCAACCACTGATCTTGTTACCATCTTCATAGTTTTGTCTTATACAGAATGTCATATTGGGACTCTTACAGTATATAGCCTTTTCAGATTAGCTTCTTGAACTTAGTAATATGCATTCATAGTTCATTCAGGTTTTTTCATGACTTAATAGCACATTTATTTTTAGCATTAAATAACATCCCATTGTCTGGATGTACCATAGTCTATTTATCCATTCACCTAATGAAGAACATATTGGTTCAAAATTTTTTGGCAATTATGAATAAAGCTGATACAAATACCATGTGCAGGTTTTTTTGTGGACATAAGTTTTCATAGCATTTTTTAAAGTATATTTAATTGTTTATGCCATTACAGTTGCCTCATTTTTTTCTTCTCTTTATAACCCTGCCCCCAACCACCAGCATTCCCCGTACTTAGTTCATGTCCATGGGTCATACATATAAGTTCTTTGGCTTCTCCATCTCCTGTACTATTCTTAACCTCCCCCTGCCTATTTTGTACCTACCATTTATGCTTCTTATTCTCTGTACCTTTCCCCCCATTTTCCCCTTTCCCCCTCCCTGCTGATAACCCTCCATGTGATCTCCATTTCTGTGTTTCTGTTTCTGTTCTACTTGTTGGCTTAGTTTCTTTTTGGTTTTTTTTAGGTTCACTTGTTGATAGTTGTGAGTTTGTTGTCATTTTACTCTTCATAGTTTTTATCTTCCTCTTTTTCTTAGATAGGTCCCGTTAACATTTCATATAATAAGCTCTTGCTGATGATGAACTTCTTTACCTTATCTGGGAAACACTTTTGTAAGTAACTGTCTCCTTTTCTCTTGCTACTTTTAAGATTCTCTCCTTATCTTTAATCTTAGGTAATGAAATTATGATGTGTCTGAGTGTGTTCCTCCTTGGGTCCAACTTCTTTGGGACTCTGAGCTTCCTGGACTTCCTGGAAGTCCATTTCCTTCACCAGATTGGGGCAGTTCTCCTTCATTATTTTCTCAAATAAGTCTTCAATTTCTTGCTCTTCCTCTTCTCCTTTTTGGCACCCCTGTGATTCGGATGCTGGAACGTTTAAAGTTGTCCCAGAGGTTCCTAAGCCTCTCCTCAGTTTTTTGAATTCTTGTTTCTTCATTCTGTTCTGGTTGAATGTTTATCTCTTCCTTCTGTTCCAAATCTTTGATTTGAGTCCCAGTTTCCTTCCCTTCACTTTGGTTGCCTGTATATTTTTCTTTATTTCACTTTGCATAGCCTTCACTTCTTCCTCTATTTTGCATCTGAACTCAATCATTTCTGTGAGCATCCTGATTACCAGTGTTTGAAACTCTGCATCTGATAGGCAGGCTATCTCCTCATTGCTTAGTTCTTTTTCTGGAGTTTTGATCTGTTCTTTCATTTGGGCCATATTTCTTTGTCTTGGTGTGCCTGTTACATTGAAAGCAACTTAGGTATTTGCCAGGGCAGGGTAACACACCTCACTGTGTTGTGGTTTTGTATGTGGGGGAAGAATCAGAGAGGAACAAGGCTGCTTGCTCAGCCCTTGCTGTGCTTTCAGTAACTTCCCCTTCTACCCACAAGCAAATTGTGCCTTCTTGATGCTGATTCCCAGGCAGGTGGGTTTGTGTACATTTTAGGACCCTGTGGGTCTCTCCAGTGAACTCCTGTGATACTGGCAGTTTCTCCTTCCACCACACCCCCACAGCTTTTTACAGCCAGAGGTTTAGAGGCTTTAGTTTCCTACTCTGGAACCCTGGGTTGTGTGGTCTACTCGTTCCCCCGTTGTTCTCCCCCGCTTATGCGCACACGCATGTCAGACTGCCCAGTCTGCCAGTTGACGCCTTGCCCTCGCAGTCTGCTACCTTGCTGCATGTCCTCTCCGCCCCTGCTGTGTCTCCGCCCCTCCAACCCATCTGAATGAATGTTTCTTCTTTAACTCCTTGGTTATCAGACTTCCATACAGTTTGATTTTCTGGAAGCTCTGGTTGTTTCTTGTTTTTAAATCTTTTGTTGTCCTTTTGGTTGCAGGAAGAAGCAAAGCATATCTACCTATGCCTCCATTGTGTCTGGGACTCTCACAGTATTTTTTTTTTAAAAATCTCTAGATAGTTGTAATGTGTAGCCAACATTGAGAGCCATTAAATTAAATCATAGAGGACTTCCTGTTCCATGTCATTCATTGGAACTCTTTTGTAAAAAGCTTGTATGCTGGCTGATGGTCTAATGTAGTGCTTCTTTGGAGCATCCTTACTTCCCCATTTCAGAACTAAGGACTGATCAAAGAGGAGGAATATTGGAACTTAACTATGCTCATTAAATATAATTGTGCAATGTAAATTACACAGAAGTCTCAATGGCAATAATAAAGAATTATACTTTACATCCTGACATAGAAGAATACCCATGCTATATAGCTGAAACCAAAAAGTAATTTCTAGAAAAAAAATATGTCCTTAAAGCTCAAAGTATATAAAGCACATGCATTTTATATTTGTATCATGCACAAAAGCAGGTCTGGAAAGTCATGCCCTAAATTGCTGTTAGTAGTTACTCCAGGTTTTAGAGAAAGGTAAATAAAGAAGAGGAAGCTGACTAATCTGTTGGAAATTAATTTGCTAAAAGTGATTTTGCTGAGTATCAGTTGGCATTTTCCTGAAACCTCATATGAGTATGTGTGGTGGGGAGGGATTTGGGGGTAGGATGGGAATAGAGGGGTAGATGGTGACACAGGACAGGCTCAGACCTTAAGCAGAGGTGTTTCCCTCCTGCTGCTCACCCTGGCCAACAGTATGGCCCATGTTATGCCCTTCTAAACACTGGAAAAGGTGACAGTTGAGCCAACCATCACCTACCATGGCCTGGCCAAATGGATGGAGGCTGAGAACCACAAGACTCCCCCATTCT